GGCATCTCTGGATGATCAATCTACCGTGTCAGCATTAATGACTATTTTAGAAACTTTCTATGATTCTTCTTGGTATCCTGACACAGGTGCCACCAATCATATCACTGCTGACCCCTCAAATCTAATGACTAGAACCCCTTACACAGGTAATGTTAAACTCACAGTGGCAAATGGTGACTTATCTACCATAAAAAATATAGGTAATTCTGTCTTTTTTCTATTTAATTCTTTGAAACTTCTCTATCTTAATAAATTGTTGCACGTTCCATCTATTTGCAAAAATCTGCTAAACATATCTTAGTTTGCTCGTGATAACAATGTATTTTTTGAATTTTATCCTGACACATGCTGTGTTAAATGTCAGGACACTAAACAACATATTTTGCATGGACATCTACAGAATGGATTGTATGCTTTTGACAATGTTTTTGTTCAACCTAAAGATATTTCAAGCAATATGTGTAACACTGTTTCTTTACAAACAAATGTTGGTCCTCTTTCAGTGTATTGTCATAAATATCAATTGTATAGAACTTGACATGCTCGTTTAGATCATGCTAATTACAAAATTGTTCAAGATGTTCTCTATAAATTTAATATTGTTGTTTCTAAAACTTCTACATTTTTAGTTTGTAAGGCATGTTGTTTTGGTAAATCTCATAAACAACCTTTCTCTAGTTCTACTTTTATTTGTGATACTCCTCTTCAACTTATTTATTCTGACATTTGGGGCCCAACACCTGTACCATCTTCTACAGGAAGCAGGTATTACATTCATTTTATTGATGCATTTTCTAATTTTACATGAATTTATCCTATTACTAATAAATCACAGGCCTTACAATGCTTTATTTACTTTAAAAATATGATTGAAAACCAATTAAACCGAAAAATTAAATGTCTTCAAACAGATGATGGTAAGGAATATCTTGCCTTTTCTAAACTTTTTTAAGAAAATGGTATTATACATAGAATCAGTTGCCCTTATACTCATGAGCAGAATGGCTCAGCTGAGAAGAATCATCGACACATCATTGAGATGAGACTATCCTCACTGGCTCATGCTTCTATGCCTTTAAACTTTTGGGGTGAGGCTTTTCAATCTGTTGTATATATCATTAATAGGCTCTCTACACTTGTTTTAGACTTCAAATCTCCTCTTGAAGTTTTGTTTAACAAGCAACACGAATACAATAATTTGAAAGTTTTTGGTTGTGCATGTCATCCTTACCTATGACCTTATAATAAACATAAATTAAGTTTTCGATCTGAAGAATGTGTTTTCATATGATATAAGCCCTCTTACAAAGGATACATGTGTCTTTCGTCAACTGGACAACTTTTCATTTGTAGACATGTTGATTTTGATGAGATAATTTTTCCATTTGAGACCAACACTAAGTTTTCCAAGAACAATCAGTTTTGCAACGCTGAATATATTTCATCTTCACCACCATTTATCCTTACTGTTACTGTTCCTCTTGATGCTTCACACCAATAACATGTTGCACCATAAACTACTGCACCAAACATTAAATATAATCCAATTCCTATACCACTCATTCCCTTTATTGCTGATACATCTCAGACAACTTCCCCTCCTTCACTTATTCTTGCTCCACAATCTCCACTACCTCCTCCTAATACCACTAATACTCATCTTATGAAAACTAGAGCCAAATCTGGAATATATAAACCAAAATCCTTTGCTGTGACAACCAACAGTTCCACCCACGACCATCTTTATGAACCCAAAACTGTCTAGGAAGCTCTCACTATACCTCATTGGAAGAAGGCCATGCAAGATGAGTATGCAGCATTACTGAAGAATAACACATGGAACCTTACGACGCTACCTGTAGGATGACATTGGATTGGATGTAGATGAATTTTTAAGGTGAAAACTCACTTTGTTGGTTCTTTTAATCGATACAAAGCTAGGCTTGTAGCCCGAGGCTTTCACCAAAGAGATGGTTTTGATTTTTCAGAGAGCTTTGGCTCGATTGTAAAGCCTACTACTATCAAAATAGTTCTTTCTATTGCAATTTTAAAAAGCTGAAATTTAAGACAAATTGACGTCGCAAATGCCTTTTTGAATGACGACTTATATGAGGACATATATATGGATCAACCTCTGATATTCATTCAAGGCAAGTCTACCCTTGTTTGTAAATTACAAAAGTCACTCTATGGCCTCAAACAGGCCCTTGGAGCTTGGTTTGAAAAGTTGCTTCAATGTCTCACCTTCTTGGGTTTTACATATGCAAAAAGTGATCCCTGCTTATTTTTCAGATTTCACAATGATCTCATCATTTGTCGGTTCTCTTCCAGTGCTATTGAAAGTCTTATTCAACATCTCCAATCTCAGTTTCCTATTTGAGATCTTGGCTATCCACATTACTTCCTTGGTATTCAGGTTAATCTCCAAACTGATGGCTCACTCATTTTGTCTCAAACAAAATATATCACTAATCTTCTTAGGAAAACTAATATGCTCAATGCCAAAAGTGTTCGCTCACCTATGTCTGTTGATTTGCAACTAAGTACTACAAAAGGCATTAAAATTGAAAATCCTTCCGTGTATAGGTCTATTGTGGGTAGCCTATAGTATATTACCATTACCAGACCTGAGATTTCTTATTTTGTAAATAAAGTGTGTCAATTCATGCAAACCCCTCGAGAACCCCATTAGCAATCAATAAAACGAATTCTTCGATATCTATGTGGTACTTCAACTTATGGAATTACTTTAACCAAATCACCATAGTTTCATGTCACTGCATTTTGTGACGCAAACTGGGGCAAGGATGTCAATTACAGGAAGTGAACCACAAGTTTTGTGTTTTTCTTGGCACTAATCCTATATCTTGGTCTTCAAGAAAGCAACATGTTGTCTCTCAAAACAGTACAGAGGCCGAATACAGAAGTCTTGTTGCTGTTACTGCAGAGTTAACTTGGTTAATGAATCTATTGTTTGAATTACGAATTTCATTGCAAACCCAGCCTCTTATCTACTGTGATAACTTGAGTGCAATCCTTCTTACACATAATCCTATATTGCATTCCAAGACAAAACACTTTGAACTCGATCTCCATTTTGTCAGAGATAAAGTCCAGAAAAAGAGCTTAGTGTCCATCATATTCCATCAGTAGACCAAATAGCAGATGTCCTTACTAAGCCATTACCTTATCCAGCTTTCACACTTTGTCGGAAGAAACTCAAGCTTCATCATTACTTCCCCATGAGTTTGAGGGAGGGTGTAAGAGAGAACTCTATCACTTAAGTTTCTCTCTTTTATGTACATACAGTTACATAATCATCTTCCGTTAATTTTAGTTACTATGCTTATTCTCTCTTTATATATATTTCTTTTCTTTGTATCTTATATACAATATTCATTCAATATACTTAGTATTCATTTATAATTCTTTCCATCTCTATCATATATCTCTCTCTTCTATTGGTACTCTAATTCCTTTATATGGCGATAAAAATTTTGCTGGCCAATGACAAATTTGGTGCCTATGTGATCATGTTTCGTGTCACACAGTAAAACATATTATTTTAAGATTAATTTTAACACACATTATAGTTATATTTAACCGTTTAAATTTGATTTTATTTATTTTAAAACAAAAAGGCTCTTAACTACGAGGAAATATTGTCCAACGGCCTTTAACTCCAAATTCAGAATCAAAAGATAAAAATTGGCTTTCCTAACTTGAAGGTAACTAAATGATATATAATAACTGCCTAGCTACATTTTTAAACAAAGAAAAACATATATTCTAAACTATAGTAACAAACTGAATTCTCAGTTGTCAATTATACAAAACGATAAATATTAAATAATACAGGCTTAATTATATTTTTAGTCAAGTTAACACAATTTGTTATAAGTAGGATGATATTATATATAATCTCAGTTGTCAATTATCGTATATCAATATAAATTTAATAATTATAATTGTTCTATGTATTATAAAACAGCGTATAATTTATTTATTTTTTAATATTATCCGTCAAATTCCTGAAAGATTGTTATTTTTCTTATATTATAATATACTTAAGGAACAATACAAAAAAGGGATAGGAGTGTGTATACAAATTCATTTAAAAACACGTATAGCTTACTCTTGTTCACGATTTTTTTTAGTTAACAAACGAATAAAAAAAACTAAATAAATTAACCAAAAATAAAAAATATATAGAGGACAGTGTAAATTAACAAGGAGATGTATCTCTTCGTCACAAAAAAAGAAGTGACGAAGAAAGAAGTAGATAAGGAGAAATATCTTTTTGTGACAAAAAAAGTAGACATTGAATTATTAAAGTTAACAAAGCTTCACGAAAACTTGAGAAAGGGACAGAGAAGATGAAGTGTATGTCTTGAAGCTTTAGCAGAAGAAAATACTTTTTTTGTAAAATAAATAAAGAAAACTTATTTTTTCATTAATTCTTCCTTCTATTTTCTTTTTTGCAATATACTTATTTCCGCTTCATGCATCCTTAAATTGGAATTATTGTCTTAATCATTTTTATTTTTTTATGTATGATAAAGTCATACTTTAAAACTTTCATGTTATTGCTACAACTTTGATCTTAGATTTAATTATCTTTTCAATTTTACTTTAATTATGTGTGATTTTGATTTGCTTATTTCTAGTAACTTTCATTTTCTCTCCAGGGTTCCTACTTTTTAAAATTAAGTTGCTTATTCCAAATGATATAAAAAAAAGTAATTATGTTTTTAAAAATTAGATTAACACTGACTTTGAACAATTAAGATGCTATAAATAAATAAAAAGTATATCTAAACTAAGTTTTTTAGTTTTGTTAAATCCAACCTTAATATTAAGTTTAAGTATCTAAAAATAGTAATTTTTATTATAAAACAAAACATTATTATACTCGTATATCTCTAATATAAAAATTAAATTTCTTAATAAAAAATAACTAATTTTACATATTTAAACTATATTTTGAAGACTTGGTGCACAGGACCGAGACCAAGAAATGGGTTTAATCGGGTTCGCAATAAAAACCGAGCGCAGAGCGCAATAAATAAAACCGAAAAATTGTTTAAACGAGCAGACCGAGAGATTCTGTTTCTGTGTTCGAGGCCGCGAGTGGGTCCCACCGATGGACACGGACGGAGTATCACCGACGGCGGCGATATCGCGGTGGAAGTTCGCGCTGTCGCAGCAGTACCAGCACCTACTAGACAAAGCGACGCCGCACGTGGGACGGCGGTGGTTGGGGTTCGTGGTGGTGGCGCTTATGTACGCGCTGCGTGTGTACTTCGTGCAAGGCTTCTACATCGTATCTTACGGCCTCGGCATTTACATCCTTAACCTTCTTATAGGGTTCCTTTCCCCTCAGGTGGACCCTGAGATTCTCGATTCCGAGGGCCCCACTCTCCCCACCACCACTTCCGATGAGTTTCGCCCCTTCGTTCGCCGCCTCCCAGAGTTCAAGTTCTGGTACCTTCTCTTTTCTTCTCCTTTTTCAATTTTTCAATTCTGATTCGTGTTGCTCCAATTGAGTTTCTAGGTTAGTAATTGCTTCATCGATCCCCAAATGGATCTTCTTCGGCTTTACTTTGACCTGGCGATTCTGATAATCCACGGTTACCAGAGAGCCCAAATTCAAACCCTAATTTCATGGAGTATTATTCTTTTGGAAATTATAGCACAACATAGGTTTCGTGTTTGTTTTTGTCTCTAGCTGAAGAGCTTCACGTGATCCTAACCAAGTCAGCTCAGGTCAATAACACTGAACCGCTCCTCGTGATCTCTCACATCGCATCTTTTGGGGTAATTCAGTGCCAATAATCATCCAAAGAAAGAATTTTGCAAATTAAATGAAAATAAATAGATGTGATTGAATTCCCGTGCCTTTCAAATTCTTTGGAATTCTGTATACAAGTACTACATAATCTGTTAGTTTTAGTTTCAGAGCATAATATGGGAAACATTAATATTGTGTTCTGTTGGACTTGTTATTTGTTAGGCTACGGATGTTGTGTTATTTGCAATGTTATATGTTCTGTAAAAGAATCTGAAAGAGGTTGTAATTATGTATGAAACTATAAGGATAGCTATGTGACATGGGCGATTAGATTTGATCTGTCAGTTCTATACTGACAAAAATCTGGATTTTCATTCCCAGAAATTATCAATTGTTCAAAATGACACACTTCAAATTAGCTTTACATTGTTTCTGTGACAATAATGAGTTCTGAAAAGATGTCTTGATGGAAAGTATGTTTTTGTGACAATTATGTTTTTCGTACGAGGTTTTTATGCTTGTTGTCAACGTTTCTTTCCTTTTGTGCTTACTTTGCTACTTTGAAAATGTTGTATTCAAACCTGTTTGTCATTTTAGAACATTAAAAGTGCTATTTGAATGTTCTTCTCTTTGGGTTTTGTGCTTGTGAGTTGTAGAAGTTCACTGTTGAAATAGGAAAGATGGTATATCTTCATGCTTTCACCGTTAGGATTTTGATATGCAGATGTTGCTCCTACTGAACCTGCTTAAGTTTTATTTGTGGACAGGTACTCGATTACAAAGGCATTTTGCATTGCATTTGTGATGACTTTCTTCGGTGCGTTTGATGTTCCAGTGTTCTGGCCAATACTCCTCTTCTACTGGGTGGTCCTATTCACGCTTACTATGAGGAGACAGTTATCTCACATGATTAAATACAAATATGTACCGTTCTCATTTGGAAAGCAGGTAAATTTAAATTTTCCTTAATGCAAAATTGTTGTCATAGATGTTGCATGGCTTTTTGTACATAAATAGGCGCTTTTAACATGATTACTTCATTGTTGCTATTGATAAAACTTTGGTTTTGTTTATTTTACTTTTAGCGTTACGATGGAAAGAGAGCACCAACAGAAAGCAGCACAAGCCTTTCGGAGGATTGAAATTTTCAAGGCATAATGAACTTTATTTGCTTCATTTAGGTCACAGATCCACGCTGTCTTTTGACAGCTGGTGCAATCTGAGTATGTGATGGCGTCTGAAGAATGTTTCTTTGAGATACAGTCTGGGTAACTGGATGTTCAGTTCCCAGTTGACCAATTGTTTAGACTTTGGACGTGTTGGATGATTTTATGCTCTCTAGTAAATCAGCTTTTTAGGGAAATATTGGGGGTGGTTCTGAGGGCTCTTTCTTTTCCTTAATTCCTTTCCCTCTATTTTGTATTCCTATATAATGGACAATGCCTCTTATTCCTGAATTCTTATTTCATTGTCAAATAAGGAGAATTTTAGATAGTTTGTGTAGAATGAAATTCTCTTCATTATTTGCAATGCGGTTATCGATCTCTCTCTCTCATTTAAACTTTTAACCAATGTCAATTGTAGGAACTCCATTTTCTAGCAATAAACCTACGTAATATGGTGAGATTGTGCTAGGGTTCAAAATTACCAGTTCCTTCAATCTCTCTTAAAACAAAGCACTGTGCACATTGACATTTTCTTTCGGCCAGACACCATGCACATTGGCTCAGAGGAAGAGTGTGCTGGGTTCGAAATTTTCAGTTCTTATTGGTCAATCGTTTATCTTTGTGTAACTAAAAAGCCCAAATATCCCAAAAGCTCATAGGTGTTGTTATTCTGGTGAGAACAGGGGACAGGTTTGATTCCCCGTATGGCACCTTACATTAGGAAAAAAAAGGTCAACTACAGGCATCAACTCTCCTCCATAATTACGAACGGACAACAAATCAAATGGGAAGTTCGAACCCCATGCATAAGGAGAGTACATTTTTCACGGAATGGGGAACCCCTTTACCTAGTTGAGCCAATGATTTCAAGTTCATACGGAGGCTTCGAGCTAAAGCAAACACATCATTTGCTTGGAGCCGATATTTTCAGTTCCCCCCCCCGCCCTAAAAATACTTTTAAAAAGCTGTTTAAAAATAAACACACACTCGTGTCGTCAATGTACCTATGTACAAAGGGTTTGTGCACAGGTGATAAGCTACAAGACGAAATCACCAACAAAAGGTAACTCGTAATCTCAAATCCAACGCAATTCAACTTTAGCATCTTTGCCAAGGCAGTGCATAGTTATCCCACAAGTACCCTTCATTGCTGGAGATTATCAAGTTGTCCGTGACTCCATGTAGATCACACACACATCACTGACACAAAATGTCGTTGCTGCAATCGACATGACACTGAATCTTCCTTTTCTTGTATCTGGTTCCACTCTCTTTAAGCTTGTAACGATATGTATCATTTACTGGCTGCGTCTGTCAGCAACTAACTCTCTGCGCATGGGACCAGCGTTTGATCCAAAATTCCAATCAATACACTTAATTCACCTGTGTGCCACTCAATACACTCTTTGTACAGATTTCTTATTCGTGATTGCTTTTGCCAGACAGCTACAGCAACGTTTGATGACAATATACTCTATTACCATCACACCACATTTTTTAATTCAGTCTTTTTTTGCAGTATTACATCTTCTTTGTTAATGATTAGTCTTCGGTTTTTTGTTGTACTTTCTACGACGTTTATTAGCAAAACCTTTATACATTATACATTTAGAATCTGTTTGGCTAAAAATAATTTTTCTTTTTACACAAATTATGAGGTGTATTCTTTTCTTCGAACATTTATAACTTTGTGTGGAACGGAGTTTAAAGACACGCTTGACATGAAGACAAATATGCTCTCAGTACTATGAGGGAAGAGGACCTCAACGGTAAAATTTTTTTAAAAGGTAGCAACTTATAAGTGCAACATGTAAGGGCTAAAAGCTTACATCTTCCCTATATTTCGGCTGAACTTTTAAATGATTTTGTTAACCTTAAACTGAGTTTAAAAATATAATTTTTTATTAAAAAAATTCATTTCATTGAAGTTATAAAATACAATAAATATATATTTATAATGAAATATTACTATTGATTCTTTAAGTTCAACTCTAATAATTGAGGTTAACATTTTTAATTTTTAAACAGCGAATAAGCAATTAGAAGGCAGAGCCATGATTTTTCCAACTTCAAAGTGCTTTTGGTATCTAGCATGGACCATGAGGTGCTGATTAAAAGAATTAATAGTGAACTGTATTGAAGAACAGAGGTGAAAGGTATTGGCAAAACAGACAAAATCTATATCAGACATAAAACTAGCATATTGATATCATTAAGGATTTCCGATCAAACATTCAAATAGAAAAACAATGAGTGAAGACTTGCGCAAATTGAATTCAGCTTCAGTTTTCACGTGAAGAAATTTATATACAAAAATAGTCCAACAGGCACATCTAATAACCATATCTAAGATAATAGAAACATCAATTTGTTGCAATTTTAGCTCTTGTTCCACTTTCTTGTTCCAATGTAATGATGGAGCTATTTCAAGCACTGCTAACATACACCTCATGGCTTTCATAAACTGAATTAGGAACTGCAGAATTTTGTTCATTTTTGACTGGGTAGGAAGCCTCCATTGCAATTCCACACTTACCCGCGGAGGTATTCATCATGTTTCGCTGTATCTTGAAGTAACCATCTTCACCCCAGTCACTGCCCCATGAATTCCTCACTAACCAATAATCCACACCATTTTCAGAGCCATATCCAATAACAACCACGCCATGATCCAAGTCTTTCCCACATTTACCGGTAAATATACCCTGAAGAAAACAAAAAATATAAGTTATGGGATATGGTGCAATAACTAATCTCAAATCAAAATTAATGTAGAACTCATTACGTGAAAAACTCACCGATTTATAGAGCTGTAAAGCCCTTCCAGAGGCTTCAATAGCCACGCTCACGGGTTGATGAGCTACAGCTTTCTTTAGAGCTTTCTCGTCATAGGGTGGAACATCTTCATACCCATCAATTTTCACAATCCTTGCATTTTTCTGTAGTTATACAAACCCTCAAATCATTAGAAACAAAATCAATTATTAAATTTAAAATACAAGGTAAGCTTAATTTTTTTTAATATTTTCATTTTGAAATATTAGTATACTCACCTTTGTTGTATTACAAATGCCATCAACACCGTAGTATGGATAATCTTTGTCTGTGTCTATTCCACCATTTTCGATGATAAATTGGAAAGCGTAGTCCATGAGACCCCCGTTGCACCCTTTATTGTAAGTTCTGTCACAGTCTAGAAGTTCTTGTTCTGATAATGACAACAGCTTTCCCGTGACTATCTTGTTTATTGCTTCAACTGTCGCCACAGTTGAGAACGCCCAACAACTTCCTGTTACATTAATAGATGGAAATAAATAAATAGAATCTATCCATCCAATTTTAACATAAAAATTCAACTCTATTTTAATCAAATCAAATCTATCACCATAATCTGCCAATTTTTAATTGAAAAATGTTCAAAAAAAGTAAATTCCAATGTCATGACACTGTAAATAATTAAATATATTTTTTTAGTCTTTCAAAAGAATTCTCAAACACTCGTCAAATATTATATCAAGTCAATTAAAATATCAATTTTTTAAATGTATTTCTAACTATTAAAGGTAAAATCTTAAATGTAATAATTTTTACTAAAAATGAAATCTATCATTGAATTTAATATATTTAATATAATAATGTTAAATACTATAATTTTTAATATAAATTTATTATTTATTAATTTTTATGAAATATTTAGAATATAAACATAAAAAAATTCATTCATCCGTGCACAATATACTAAAATATTGTTCTTTTATTGTATTTTAATATATACTTTTTTTTAAATAACACATGCCACTTTTTACTATTTTGTTATATTTTCAATTTAGATTTTTTAAATCTAATTATACATCTCCCTTTTCAGTCTCATTATTTTTTATTTTTTTTTAATTGTTTATATTCTATCTAAATTTTAAAAGCAAATGAATGCAATCAAATGAGTTATTTGTATTTAAAAAATCCAGTAAAATTTTAAAAATTGAAGTATTTTACTTTCAAAATAGTTAAAAAATCCAATCTTATAGCCAAACGTGTCTCGTTGTATTAACAAACAATGTTTATTAGAGAAAAGCTGTTATGTTAAATTTAGAACAAGTCCTTGTCGGAGAAGTAACTTACCCAGTAACCTTAGCAAAAACAAAAACGGAAGAAATATAATAAGAAACAAACTTACCACAATTTCCTTGATCTTTGATAGGAGTGATTGCACCTTTCAACCGCCAATCTACGTGCTTCGGCAACCTATCACCTGCATTGTAAGTATATCGGTGACCGGTGATCTTGGTTTTCATGACCCTTCTCTTAGCATCACTTCTGGTGCCCAAATTCATGACACGATATTCTTCGTTAGTCATATCAGCAAACTTGTTCAAACCAAGTTTATATGTGTGATTTTGAGCATTGTGTTCTTCTATAAATTCCAAGTTATTCTTAAAAACTCGAAACCTTTTATCCTTCTCGCCTAACCCATTATATATTTTTTGGTGTTTCACCAACCACTCTTCGTACAAGGCCATCACCTTCTCTTCGTGAGTGTGGTTGATGATGGACATGTCCATTGCCAATGACATGGTGAAGGAAAAGAAGAGCCAGGTGAATGTTATTATGGGCATGAATGCCATGGTTAGGATTGAACAAGTTCAGTTTGGAAGAAAACAACGTTGGTGAAGAGAGGAATGGGAGTATGTGAGTTTATATAGAGGAAAGAATATTGTTTAATATTCGAAGAAGATTGATAAAAATAAATAACTTTGGGCAAGTGGTGAAATCATTTCCCAGGGAAAAGTAACGTAATTAAAGAGAACTGCCACACCACGTGGCCTCTCAGTGGATGATAAATAATTGGAATATTTAATTATAGAAATCACCTTCGAAGTATTATGTTAGTTCATTCAAAACATAACGCATGGAATAGCATAATAATATATGTTATTATTAATATTATTTTTGTTTCAAAATATCTTATTTTAAAAAATATTATTATGTTTTATAACTTTTACAAAACTAATCAATTATAATTTTTTAATTTAATTTTATCTCTTATCATTTGATGTTACTTTTAAAATTATTGTTGAAATGATACACGTGAACATTATACGAGTTTTATGTGTTGCAAATAACAGACTATGTATATTCTATGGCAGAAGTTAACAGATTTCTTCGAGAAGAAGGATTTGGTTTACTTGGGAGTGAATCCACCTCAAGCTTGAAGAGGAAATAAGAAAGCCTTTAGTATACCTTTTAGATGTCCACTTAGGAATTTACGGCTTTAATAGAAGAAAATAGAAGCCTTTTTAGCTTTGCTGAAATCAAGTTGCATCTGACAAAGGGTGGCATGGAATTGGATCACAACTTGCAAGCACTTGGCTAGTCAGTCATTCATGGGCATGCCTCCCCTTATCTTTATATTAAATAATTGAAATATTTTATTTGGAACAATATCATTTAAATATTTGTAACGGCAAAACCCTTACCTTGAACCTTCAATTTCCAGTACTGGCTTCGTTCACTGAATCCGTTTTACAATAGTCTTTGAAAACAGTGCCGCCTAGCTTCAACCCCAACATCACTGGAATAATTCTGTTATTTATTTCATTGAAACATTTCCAAAGGTAAAATTCTTTTAAATTATTTAAGTTTTATTTTATTAATCTTATATTGCTCTTGTAATAATATACTTTTTTTATTATTATTTAAGTAACTTTCAAGTCCGATTCTGTAACTCTGAAAAATTATATTGAATGAATTTAATAAATTATTTCATATTTTTATATATTACTAGTGCTTATTTTATTTTTAAATTTTTTTGTTAGCTCTCGTAATATCTTATTAAGTAATGGTTGCTTCATTAAGCAATTGTACTATTAAGCTATCCACGTTAATTAGTTTCTAATGCATATTCTTGAAAAGCATTAATTGATAATTTTAAAAAAGTCGTTACACATTCTGTTGAAAATGTCCTTATAAATGTTATAAAAGTTGATATTGATTAAAGAATTTAAAGTATGCTTTTTTTATTTATTTAAAAGCATACAAATATATTTCTTTTTAGAATATTTAATGTATTTGAACATAAGCTTTAACAAATAAAATTATTATTTATTCATTATTTAGAGTAAGAGTGTTTAAATTGACATGTTTAAATTTTAAAACTTAAACTCAGTATATTTTAAGGGTGAATTTAAGTTATATTTTGAATTGTTTCAATTCAACTTAATGTCTTTTATTCTTTTAAATTTTATATTTTTAAATAATAATAATAATAATAATAGTTCAAGACTTAATAAATAAAATTTTATATTACATTATATTTATATTGATATTATTTATTTTAAACTATATATTATAAAATATATTATCATTTTAATTTTATACTTCATGTTAACTAAAAATAATGTTAATCTCATTATATGTAGTCAATGAATTGGATTTACCCAATCTTATTCTAAATATTGTCGAGTTTTGATCATGTTGATTTGAGTATATGAAAATAAAATCCTATCAAAATTTTTGGCCAGATAAAAACAAAGATAAGTCTGTTACATCCTTTCCTACATGCCCTGCCATCATAGACTACTGCTTAGTAATATCTAAATGTTATTTCTAGATAATTGCTTACAAATACATTTATATTAAAATATATTTTTAAATATAAAATTCAAATAAGATAAAAAAAAAACATAAATTATTCCTAAACTTACTGAATAACCAATCAAGATCTTCAGCATTTAATTGACTGCAAGAATTATGATTATTTAAAATGTTTCTTATTTAAGTATAATTTTTTAAAATAAAAAACCTACCATCTCATTATTACAATATCCCAGTTTAATTTTGAATTATAGAAATCAGCTCCCTAAACACAGAAATAGGAACTATTTCATTCTAACCCTTAAAAAATAGTTCAATGAGTCATGGGAACTTGAACTTCAAACTGCATAAAAAGGAAAAATTGTGGTCAGGCCAGCATATAATGACCTTTTTGTATCTGCTGCCATGCTAAACAACCTAGAATCTTCATGTCATGTGCTATGGTGTTAAACGAAAGTTTGATTAATGTAAAGCTTGATATATAGAGATAATGATAATTATATAAAATATACATGAAATTAAAAGAAAGTAGAATGGCCATTTCTAAATCACAGTTTGGGAGATGATATTAACGTGGAAAGAAATCATATTTGATTTAACTAATATAAATATTCATCATTAGAAAAACAAAGAAGATCAGCCTTTTCATTTATAATGTTTGAATTTAGTTTTTTTAATAACTTATGTTGAAAAGAAAATATATAATTTATTTGTAAGGAAAAAGGTTAAAAATGTTTTAGATTTAAAATTCGACAAATTGATTATGATATTTTCTTTGATACATTGAATACTAATATATTTTTTATAATTGTTTCACATATTTACATAATTATTATTCTATAAAGTTTTGCATTATTATTAATTGATTGTAAGACAAGGATAAGTTAAAAACAAATTGAAATTGAAAAGGGATAATGATTGTGATTATATTTAACAAATATAACATGTTAAAAAAAGAATCTTGTTTTTTTTTTTTTTAAAGCTTACGTTAAAAAGAGAAAACATAATTTATTTGTAAAGAAAAAAAATTTACAATGTTTTTTTTATTAAATATTCAATAAATTGACTATGATGTTTTCTTTGATACTTTAAATACTAATAATGTTTCATGATATGTATGTGTATATATATATATATATATATATATATATATTATTCCATAAAGTTTCGCATTAGTATTTAATTGATTGTCAGACGAGGATAAGTTAAAAATAAATTGAAATTGTCAAGGGATAGTAATTGTGATTATATTAAGGAAATAGAATATGTTAAAAAAATAAATTAAATGTTGTTATTTTGAATACAGAATGATCAATCGCATCCTGATTCCCAGTTGTATGAAATGACCTATAAAACGAAATCTTACATTAAAAAGGTGTTTGGATGCCTAGTTGATAAACCAACGCAAGGAACAGAATAATTATTCCACTTGACATTTGTTTTCAATTTCATGGATACTATGTGACTATGTAAGGCTGCTGTGTAGATCATGATTCATGAACATCGGAATTTTTTTGTTCGAAGTAATGAAATCTACCCGTAGGGGCAAAACAAGAGGAGTAAAAAAAGAGATGAAAAGAAAAAAAAGAAAGAAAGAAAGGACAAATGCATGCATATTATATTGCTATTGTGAATTTGTATTACATTGAAGAAAAATTATGCAAGCTTCCTCCAATGAAGCAAATGCTGCAGAAAAAAATTGACATTGTCTTTCTGGCAACGGAATATATATATATATATATCAACCCCCAACAAAAATGAGAAAAAAATCAATGTAAAAAAAAAAAGGGTGAAATCAGACTGGAATGCACATATGCTGTCCACCTTAGAAGTTATCCCAATGTATGGATCCATTAAGAATATGAGCTTCATTTGTTCAATTCAGATTATTGTCAACGAGGACCGGCAGTCTCGTATACACAAGGCAGTATATTTCTAAAATGCACTTATTAACATCTCAGATTTGTACAGAACGTGTTTAGACTTGCTCACCTATTTTCGGTGTCATACTTTCTTTTACTTTGAGTGTGTCTGGATCTAGATGTTTTACCCTTTGTAGAATGTTTGCTCGTTTGTTCTTGTGTGCCAATTAGCACTTTTCCATTGATTGAGAGCACAGGAGGTGCATCTGGCCATGGAGTGCGTTTTGCCGGAACCGTGATGTCTAGAGGACGGTCAATTGTCCATCTGCATGAAATTACATTATATGGTAAGGGATATGCTCATATGCTCAGAAAACGTGTTAATAAATATTATGCTTAATGTTCTGAGAAGATATAAAACCGTGTTATATTTGCTGGATGACAAAAACCATTTACAAGCACAGAAATCTGACTGCTATGAGCCCTGAAAATAAGATGCTTTAAAGATGGAATGATGTTCAGCATTAGCATCTTAACGAAATAAATTTCATGACTTTCAGAGAAAGTTTAAGGTAAGAGAAAAAAATAAAAAGAAGTCACAAAATTTTAGAAATGACTTCAGTTGCGGAGGGAATTAGCTTGTAGAAACAATGTAAGAAAGAAAGAGATTCCACACTCACGCGTTTGAAATATGACTTCAGTTTCTGAGTTAAAGTGGCTGGTAGGGACTTTGGAAGCCAGAAGAAACAATAATCAAAGAAATCAAGTAACAAAAAGCAAGGTCACGAAACTCATTAACAGAGTTATATATATGCTCCTTGAATTCAAGGGTTGCTAGACATTTCTCAGGCAATGCACTGGCAAGCACAAGTTCTGGTAGTAGGATCCAAGATCCTTCTCTCAAAACATCACAAAAATCACTTGCTGTTCACTTTTTATTTGTATTCAATTAGCACAAGAATTTTACAATAGATGATATCAGGCTGCTCTCTGTGACACAACACAAATAATCATGCAGAGATCCTAAGCCCAACGTTCATACCCAAACCAAACATCCATAAGTCATAGACAAGCAATCTGATTGAAGTGCTCCATTTCTGTCTTTAGTTTATGATGAATTGATGGTAAGCTAAAACTCCAATTAAAAAATGGTCATTGCTCAAAAAATGCTCTCTCTCAAATACAAAAGCTTCATGGGCCATTAATGGATAGGAAAAAAAAGGTGAAATAGAAATAACTGTACGGTAATGATGAAAGGTTTGTGAGATGTGTCTACATAACCGATCTACAATTCTGTTAAAGGATAGTTACAATTAATTTACTGTTAAGTCAGTGATATTGATTTAAGATGTAATATAAAGGACTCAAATGAATCCTCATTCTTTGCAATTTAGAGCTAGTAAAGGAAAGAACAAAAATATTTATCTTGAGGTAAAAGGGAAAGAGATTGTGGGGTGGGTGTGAGTTTTTTCCAATCAGCAAGACTGTATCACTAGATGATCAGAAAATGTAATAATATCATATGTCCACCATAATTCAGCCCAAGCAGTAATTCTCTATCCGCAAGGTCCTGTATGGTTCAGTCTAACCTATATTATATTAGTTAGTGCTTCAAAAGAACTACTTAAACAGGAAAACTATGAACCATCCTGGCAATCGAAGAACCCGTGGTAACCAGTAGTCAATGGAAATAATGATACCATGTTAATTATAATTACAGAAACAACATGTATATCCTGGTTTACAATAGTACTAAGAACAACCAAATCTCTCAAATATATTATAAACTGCTAAGCACTCCAATTTTCAAACATTGGCATTTGCGGCACCAGGCTTCTAGCTTTCATCTGTGCCACAGATACATGTTTTCCACGATATTCCATGAGGTTTTCCACAATGATAATAAAAAAAATGCACATGTATGACCAAGGGAATCAGAAAAGCTTTTGTGCTTTTTTTGTACTTGTCAAGAAATATATTCTAAGGGTAACTTTAATAGTAAGACATAAGTGAGCACTATTTTATAAGTCAAGAGAAAGGGACTCACTGAGCAGGAAATTTGCTGTCTGAGCGAGCTTCAACCCGCAGCCACCAAAGCATAACATGGCGTCCACAACTCCCAAGTGGTTCTACCACATAAGTGTCTCTGAGCAGAGACAATGGACTCTCTACTTCACCATCCCCATCCAATGCTTCAAAATCTTTAATCCAGTCAGGCTTGTCGTCAAGATCCTTCCAAAGCAACCTGGAATTCAACACAAACCCAGCCCATTCTAACTTTCTGGGAAGCACGGGAGCCAGGTCATCTATGTAAACTGCATTTCTTCCTTTGTATTGTAACGAATTAAAGGTATGCCACCCAACCAAATTATTGGTAACATTACAAGCAGGACCCTGCACAGGCATGGGTGGGTCCTCCTCCTCAAAGTGTAAGGATGACGATTCATCCCTGTGAGCCGAATGAACAAGAATTCCAACTGAAACTGCACCCATCCATTTCACACTTTGAATTTCATCAAACAGCTCCATGCTATGCATATTGCTATCATCTGCAAACATCACAATTCCATCCAGTTTCTCTTGTCTCACAATTCTGTTCCACATCCGCCACATGTTAAATTAGCAAAACATTTTACTTCACAACAACAAACTAAATCTTCAAACCATGCAAGAATGTTGACCAGGTTGCAAATGATAAGGGGAAAACACACACCAAATATTTTTCACTGTACCTTGCATAATGAACAAGTTACTCTAATGAAGTACTAACGAACACGGTATTGTAATTGCTTGGATTTGGTTTGAAGTATAGTAATTATTTCTTATGCGCCAATTGGCGGGAAAACAGGACTTCCGAAATTGAAAAAACGATAAACACGAAGGAAAACAAAAATGCTGACCTCAAAGCATGAAGCCGCATCCGAGTCTCCAATTTATGCCTAGCGTCCCACGAAATCGGCATCCGGTGAATGAATCCAACGTGGATGGTTCTGAGCCCTGACTTGGCAACAATGGAAGCAGTTTCATTGGTGACTCTTCCGGCCTCCACCACGATCCACACCACATCATATGGCACAAGCATCAGCGAGTGCATAACGCCGGTCAAATGAAGCTTCTGGAACGTTCGATCGTAGGTCGGGGTGACTGCAATCACTGTCCTACGGTTCTTCACTCCGAACAGCGCTCTCTGCTCTTTTTGAACTCTCTCAATTATCCTGTGAGCCTTTATCACCTCCTCCGGTTTCGGATGCGGCCACGGTCGAATCGGGATCCATTGGCGCCCCACGACCACGCGGCTGCCGGTTGAATCACCGGCTACGGCAGTTCTGTTCGCTGGATTCTCGAGGTTCTTGATCGGATTCGCGGCAAGGGAGGAATACACGATGAGTGGACGGGAGATTTCGCCGCCGCGGAACGGAATGGGGTAGAGGTTGGTGGAGGAAGCTGAGAAGAGGAACAAGAAGACGAGGCGAGAGAAGCGGAAACCAAGGAGTAGGCTGATGAGGCAGAACACAGCATGGAGTAGAAGCCAGAAAGTTGAGGTCGGCGAATTGCCGGAGTCTTCGCCGGAGGAGTCCAACGTGGACGGTCCTCTGGAGCTGTTGCTACGGCGGTTAAGGTAGCTCTGCTGCAACGCTGAGAACTTCATTCTCTCCCCCTCCCTCTCTCTCTAAATGAAAGAGAGAGAAAGTGAAAACAGTAGAACTCAGTGACAGAGGTTCTTTGTGTTAAATATTGAGTTGCTTTGAAGCTTGATTGACGCCAGGTTGAAGACTGCAATGAATGGTGACGCTCTTTGTTTAAATGTTTTATTATTCACTTTTTATTTTCCCGGGTTTATGGGTTAATCTTCTTTTGTTCTAAAAGCTTTTTTGTGAAATATTGTACTCTTGCGATTATTCAGTGCGTGTGTACAAATAAAGTCATCGTTCTACACTTCTCCCCGCCTTGTGGCAAGTCTTACTTTTCTCTACCATATCGTCTTTCTATTTCTTATTAATTATTAATTATGCAGTTAATATTTATTAAATATTTTGAATAATTTTTTTATGAATAATGTTAGGAACGGATTAAAAACCATAATAAATATATAATAATTTTTAATAAATACTTTTTTAAAGATTTAACTAGTATGAAGAAGTTTTTTTTTTATTGAAGTTATATTTTATTTCAATACTTTTATAAAAATAATTAATTAATTAATTTATCAATACCAATAAAAATAATTATATATTATAAATTTATAATTCAGTTTAAAAATACTTGTAGCAATAATGATTTATTTATCTTGTGAAATTTGCACGAGCAATCTCATTAATTATATATTTTTAAATAATTAAAAAGAGACACTATTAAAAATAATGAAAAAAATAAATAAAAAAAAGTGCATAGTTTTACTCTTTCTAATTAGTTACAAATGCACTGTTAACAAGACTTAACCTTTGTAAGGTAAATTGGTGATTTATAGATTAGATGAATAATAATTATTTTAACTAGTATAACATTGTATATGATAATAAATTACATGTAGTAAATTTTAATATAATAATAACATTTAATATTATCAATGCATTAAATGATATTGAAGTTTTCAGTATTTAATAAAAGCTTATTTCTATGATATCTGAAAAATAGTCATTTAATTATACGATAGAAGAACTAAGAAATATATTTAATTATTAAATAGTTGTTTAAGGTGGTGACACAAAAACTAATCAAAATATTTAATTATCTTGTTTTTATTAAAAATATTGTGAGATTTTCTATTATATCTATTTGAGAAATTTTTTATACAGTAAATGGATTGAGAGAAGAGATAGAAAATGAGTTTCAAATAATAATTATCTGAAGAGTAAAATTGGAAGAAACAAATTACATTTACCTTGAAATTGTAAAGTGATTATGATTTTGAAAAAAAAAAATTGGTAAAAGAGATTTTTTTTGGGAGTATTTTATTCTTATTAAAAGTATTATTAAATTTTTTTTATCATATGCATTTTGGAATTTTTTTATTCAGAAAATAAATAGAGAGAAAATAGAAAATGGGTTTTTTTACTTAAAAAATATTTTATTAAATTAGACTTTCTTGAAAATTATTTCTCTATTTGGAACTTTTTTACCACGTCTTGTCACACATGTATGCATAAATATCAGCAAAAAGAGCAAGAATTAATTATATTTTAAAAAAACTGGGTACTGTTGAAAAAAAAAAAAAAAGGAATGTCATGTGTCTCTATTTGAATAACTCTCGACTTTGCAGCGGCCATAGGAGTATCATCTCATATGTAGTGATACTTGTGCAGATTGTGATACGTGGTAATTAGGGTATCAGGCATTGCCACCTCGTTTTTTCCTTCCCCCTTCTTCCTCCATTTTCACCTCCAGAAAAGCTTTTACCTCCTCCTTATTTGAGTAAATTTGCTTGATATTTTTTCTTGGTAGGCATCACAAGGTTTTACATTATAATATGGTATAAAAGGAAAACACTTTGACATAGTTTGTAAATTGGTATTAGATAAATGTTCCAATATATGATTCCATGGGATAGCTTCACTATATGCAAAATTGCAAGCTAAGCAAACAAAATCAGAACCGTTAACATTGTGTGTCTTCTGAGATTTTGTGCTTAAAATGAATACTCTCCCAACTTGTTCAGCTATGCCAATTGTCCTTTTGGTAGAATTTTATTAAATGAGACATTTGTCATAATACATTTCAAGATAGCAAAGATCATTTATCAATTAGGCATTGCTCTGGTACCTTGATAAATGGAAGTGTTTAGGTTACCTTCTTGATTTATCGTAGGCACTTAAACTAGAAATTACTGCACTAGCCCATTCAAAGATCTGTACTCCCACACACCAAAGCTTTTATCTTTATGTCTGATACTTTCCATGGTTAGCATTAACCAAATTCCCCTATGCCACAAATTGTTGCAATCTTGCCTTTAAAGACTATCGCATTACGACCTTTAAGTCATTGTGGGCTCTATTCCACATCATCATGCCATCATTGCAAAACTTGTGAGCCTCCCTCGACCTTGATGGACGTGTTGTTAGTATGGTCACTAGTTCATGTGAGTCATGTATTTTGATGTTTCAGTTGGTGGTTAGTGAAGGGCGATGGTGGGGGAAAGTTTGTTATGGTGGAAGTATGTAGTTATGTGGTGTAGCAACTGGTTCGTTGGAGGACGACGTAAATGACAACCACACATTGGTGTTCAAGAGCGACACTGGCAACACAAGGAGTAATATGTTTGACCGTACAATTGTGTGGACACCTGAGGATTAATTCCAACAGCTGACAATGACTATCTTTATGCCATATTTAAGCAAAAATGAATGTTTCAATCTCATAATAAAAAAAGCCTTAAAGTCATGGAATTCTCCTTTAGATCTTGACGACATATTGTCCTTCAAGACAATTTTAAAGGTATGATTGATACTGGTAGAAATGCACTTGAAAATGGTATTATGTGTGAGGTGATGACATACTGGGTTCATTGTCATGGTGGCAAACGGGTGAGGATCTGAGTTGTGGTGTTGGGCAACTCGTGTGAGATGGTGGCTTACTGGCTACTCATATATAATTAACAGCTATATGAAATGATTTTATTTAAATACATGTTATTAATTTATTAGGTTGTAATAGAAAGGTATACAAACTAGTCAAATTTAAAGGTCACCAAGGAAATTCTCTTATCAATTGTTGACCTTGAAATTAAGAAACATACAACACACTTAGCAGAGCAATGACTCTATCCAATGTAGTGTACCATATATGGACACATAAAATGTAATGTCATTTGGGGAAGTTATTGAAATAAGCTGGATATTAATGAAAGAAGAAAAATTGGCCAAATCATAAGTGAAGCGATCAGTAGCTTTTGTATCAAGAAGCCACTGTTAGGATGTTTTACTTGTGGAGGATAAAGTTACATTTGTAGCCGCTGAAGTTTGCACATAACTTGAAGAATGAATGGAGGATGTAGAATCTTTACCAAAATGCTGAAGAAAGGCAAGAATGCCTTAGTACTAACTTGGAGTGAAAGTTACACCTGAATTATAGTGATTATTTTGATTTAATAAGTCAGTATTATTTGTAGTATTCTCGAAGTTAGTTGCAATATTGGTTGCTCGAACACTTCTAGGTTTGTTATTAAGGGAAAACTATGCTTGTAGTAACATATATCAACAATGTGGTTGTTTCTGCCGTAGTAAATGCAGAGACAATTTGAATAGTTTTGTCCTCTTCCTAATCCAAATCTGCATCTTCCTCTACCAAAATCACCTTTCCTAGTAGACTTTGGGTAGAGGGCTGATCTTGAGCAACAATAATAAATACCTTAGAATCATTAGAATTGACATCAACTATTGACCCATAATTCATTTGTCTTTCCTATTGAATAACTACAGAGAAGACTCAATTAATGTTTGGAAGTAGGTTTAACAAGATGATTCGAGATCTGAAAGAGAATACCGCTCATTCAAACCTTGAAAAAATCTGATCACATAATCTTGGTCTCTATAGGTCTTGAGGGATTTGCATGCATCACACGAACATGAAAGCGAACTTTTACAAGTGGAAATAGGTTTAAAATTTTCTAACTCATCCATGGCATTATTTCATTTGTGTGAAGTATTCAATAATTAATAAAGTACCTTGACTCATTTTTGTATATATCCTGTTGAAGTCTAAACTTCTAAAAGTGTCACCTTGAAAGAACTATTCTTTAAGATCCTTCCATGCTTCTGAAGCAAAATCAATCTAGATAATGAATTGTAGTATCAAATTAGATATAGAACGATGGAGCTAAGTCAAAACCATTTTGTGTTGTATCACTCATAGGCTCCATATATATATAATGGTTTAGAAGGTAATTAAAGAGGAAAAAAAAATGCTTCCATTCACAAATTTCATGTTGTATTTAGACAATGCAACCTTCATAGCTTGTGCCCATGCATGGTAGTTTGGTTCAGTCAGTGGAGGTGAGACTACAACTTGTGTTGGATTCTCATTGTCATGGAGAAAATAGAGATTAGTTGAATATTTAAGAAAATTTTGAGTGCGAGCTTTTGGCTACCATAAGAACAATCGCAAATATAACACTTGAATAAAAAATAAAAAAAAAAGACAAAAATTCTACTAATTTGACAACCAAAGCTCCTTTCGAAACTCTAGTATCATTTTGCTAAAGAAATGCGAATATATATCCAAAAAAATAAATAAAAAATTACATGACAATTTATATATAACAATCATAGGTCCCTCGAGAGAATTTTGAAAGCATAATAACCTAATATTCTAAAATTAGAATATGAATATAACTAACTAAAATAGGAAAAAAGAGAAAAACAATTGCACACTGCATAATTGCATATAATGCATATACTAATAAAAATATGATGATGTTGTTTTAATTATTCATAAAAAAAATAAAAATCCTAACACTTTCTTTTGAAATAATTAAGGATATTAGTATGCTGATTTTTTCAAGAAAGCTTAGTTTTCATTTATTTAATTTTGTTTTACCGTGTAAGCATGAAAATTACTCATGCTAATACTATCGTTTATTTGTTTGAACGGTAAAAATTTAGATTTTGGGATTCATGTAATTGAAAAATAGCTTCAAGAATAATTTATTGGTTT